GAGAGTTTATTCTGGTGTTGGTGCCTTAAGTCTTCAGCTTTCCACAAGGCAACTCTTCAGGTTTGTCCTTTTGGAGCTTTAGGGTAGTGCTCACAACTTGGAGAGGCACAGTGCAGTGATTTTTGGGTTAAAAAAAAAAAAGGGAGGAAGGAAAACAGAACTTTAAAGGCCAGTGGAGGTGCTTCCACCTCACAAATAAATAAGCAATTTGTTTTTAGATAATATATAAATAGATAATATATAAGTTTACTTCAAAAACCTGGATGTTTTCTTGTGCAGTTTTCAGCTGTAGAGTATAAAAAGGCAGAAAATGGGAAGTCCTTCAAGGACAGTAAAAGTAACTCGATCATTGAAAGAGGACTAAAAAGCAGATACATAGCACCACTACCAAAAAATAACTGGGTTATGATTGCTTACTGGTTTTTTAAAATGCTTTTAAATCCATGAAAGTGCAGTGTAGCTGCAGCTGCATTTTAATAGCAGTCTGAGCTATTGTGGAATGAAATAGCTCTTGATGGTGTCATGTGATGTAGTAATCACTGGTGGGTAGAGTAGGGGTGATCTTGCTACTTTTTCTCCAGTGCTTTACTAGCTAGTTTTTAGTGAATAAAGTTAAAAGAATATAAATGTGACAATGCTTTTTTGTTTGTTTATTTCCAGAAAACTGATTGGGAAGTAGCCATAAAGAGTATTAACAAAAAGAACTTGTCAAAGTCACAAATCCTACTTGGAAAAGAAATTAAAATCTTAAAGGTATGTTAATTTGCAGTGATTTTTAAAGCTGCTTTACTTAAAAAGGAAAAGAGACATTTGACCTAGTTCATTTCAGGTCATGAGTACTATCACAGTAATTGCTGTTCTGCCTTTTGTTTCTTTGTTAGTTCCAGGAGAAATCCAGAACTAAAAAGACCAAGGAAAAAAAAAAAGAAAAATATACTTTTCTTAGTTCTGGAAATGATCTTGGAACAGGTTATGGGTATGCTTTTGTAGTTAAAAATGGAAAAGTGTTATAGAACCACTTCTTGTGCTTTACTTATTGCACATGTGGAAAACTTTGTCCTTCAGGATGGCTAATGTGGCACCTTTCCCAAGTGGTGCGTACAACCAAAGTCATAGCTGAGTCTATGGGTCTTTCTTCATCTCCTGTGCCCAAAGATGCCTTGAAAGCTAAAATCAGCATGCTGAATTTCATTCCTGAAGCACTCTTGCCACTTCTGAGTTTTGTTAATTGACTTAAAATGTGTGGCTCTAATGAAGGAAATAAAATAGAGCATAATTTAGTTTTTCAGTGCTATTTTATGGAAATGTCTTCTTGGACGGTCTCTCAGCATTCACCACTCTCTGAACATCACCACATCTCATTTTACATAGCTTTGCAGTAATAATTAGTGCTGCTTTCTTTCCATGTTTCCAAGATTCTTGAAGATATGTCACCATTTTATATAATATATATGTATCATATTCTAGTATATTTGTTATATACCAGAAGTTGTAGTGTTGGATATATTAGTCTGCCAGTACTTAAAGACAGATGCTTTTTGAGCAGTTACAAATAATTGCATGAACTGTCCTGTGAGTTTTGTTTGATTTCCATTTTATTGTAAAATGGTAAGGTTGATGTGAAAATAACGTAATTGGTTACTCTGTTAAGCAAGAAATTGTGTGAGACTATAAAATTAAATTTAATCAGTTTTCACTACTTATTAAAGGATCTTGTGCTTTCTGTAACAAAACATAGAAAATAAATTGTGGAGCCAAATATTTTTATGACCTCTGAAGATATTGCCTGATTTCCTAGTCCTGCAAAAATTGTCTAAATAGTTGGGTTTTCCTCCAAATTCCATCAGATGGTCTAGAAAAGATACTATCTTTTTTTGTAAAATTTGTTTCTCCTTGATTATCACCCAGGGTGTTAAATTTAAAATAATAACAACAGGCTATTTCTGTAATACAAATATTTTGTTTTACAGGAACTTCAGCATGAGAACATTGTAGCTCTCTATGATGTCCAGGTAAAATATATCTTGATGCCTTTTTCTTAATTAAATTTTATTTATAGAAATATAATGCATGTGTATGTATATCAAGGAGAAAATTTTGAATGGCTATACATTTTGTTACTATAATCACTTTGGTATTTAGAAAAAGAGATCCAGTTCCCTAGCGGTGGTAGGGGAGTTCTCTCATCTTCAACACACTATGCACTTATTTGGTATTGGCTGTTTTTAATAAGCAGGATGCGCAGTTGGGATAGAAAGCTGTGAGGAATATTGTTTACTTCCAGACAGTGGGGGCAAGTGGCAGCCTGAGAACTGCAGAGGCTGTCTCTAGAGAAAAAGTGTCAGCCAGCTGGACTGGGGGCTCTGTCGGTAGCAGTAACTATTCTCCTGAATTAGCCTTGTTTCCTTGGCCTTCCATTAAATTGGAAAGTGGGTGTTTGTGGATAATGGCTGAATACACCTGAAGGAAAATGTACTAGCAGGCGTTGATCTGGACGGATGAAGGAAGTGTCATTAAGAAGTCAACATAACTTAAAATACTCTGTTGTAGAAGAGGAGCAGCATCTTTGAGATCTCTGTAACAAAGAAATGCATTGTATAGCCCTGTGTCATGGTGAGGAAGAACCGAAGGAAGTAGAAGACCATGATCACACATGTATATGTTGCTGTTGCCTGTGTTCAAGAGGATAGGATAAAGTATAAAAGCCAAGCAGACATTTGGATCTTTTCAAGTAGGAGAAATAAGTATTAAATTGCTTCACATTGTCTTCCTTTTTTTTTTTATTCCCAAGGTTCTGCCTGATAAGGTGAAGGAGTTAGTTTTTTTAGCTTATTGAGAGTGGACTTTAGTAGGAAGTACAGTTTTTGTATCCCAAGACCTGCAAGTCTTGAGTAAAGCTAAATATGCTGTGATGTAGGTTGTGCAGCCATTTGTTCTGCTTGAATAAGAACTATACATTTCTCTCCTGGGTTCTATTCGAATCTTAAATACAGAGTTACATTTATGAAGAAATTATTAAGAACCACCCTTGGGGCACTGCATAGTTAAAACAATGCAAAATAGACATGTTGACATTCTTCAACATATTCTGTCTTTATGCGTTTGCATCCTAAAAGGTTTTCAGCTTACATGTAGATGTGTATCTGTGTAGCTATAGAAATCCGTGTTCACAATATATGTGCTAGGCAGGCTGAGGTTTTATCGTGTGTAGTGCTGCAAGACGTGCACTAACTTCTTTTGACTTCTGGTACAAAGCGATGGTGTTCATGTAGTAACAGGCTGTGCATCAGAACTTCCCATTTGGATGTGTGGGCTCTTTTCCCTTCTGGGTCTTGACTTCAGAACTCTGCATTTTGAATGACATGAACTGCTCTGAGAGGGAAAGTATAGTCTCTTGTGCTTCTTGAAGAGTCCAGGCTTTCCTGAGTATTGCTAAGTGGAAATAATCTCTCAGCATCCTAAATTTAGCATATCCAGACATCTTAAAAGAAACTGGAATTGTTGACTGAGGGCGTTGGTGTGTGAGTAAGCAGCTGAATTTCAGATTTATCATTTACAGTTGCTTATATGTGAAGATTACTTACTGAGCTTTGGAGCTCAACCTGAGGATAGTTGACTAGATATATATTTTGATGATTTAACATTGTTTCTCTTCTTGGAAAGACTCTTGCGTCTTTTGCTTTATGCACAGAACATCCGCAAGGGAAGAGAGGACAGAGATGTACACTTGTCTATGGTTTCTTTACCAAAAGGTTATTTTGAAATATAACTTTTATGCTTTTCTGTTCTCCCACAGGAAAGGGTGCCCTTAGAGTTGCAGGACTTCTTGAATGATCAGACTTGTATTCTCCATTTGAGACAATGGTGTTCCTGCTTGTCACTGCCGATTGCATTTAAATAATACGAACAGTTAAAGCAAAGGAAGGGAAAACCTATCTCTCATGCCTTGGATATGTTTCAAATACATTCATGGCAAACATAAAGCTTGGCAGTATGATGCTACTTCTATAGAAGAAATTGTTTTGCAAAATATGGTCTAAAGAATGTGACACGCACAAATAAGCTTTTCCCTTTCTGCACAGGGCTATGTTTGTGAAGTATTATATATCATTAGCTTGTACGATTACATTAATTTATAACCCAGCAAGAACGAACACTATGCAAGGCATTCACATGTCTAGTAGGCTGTTACACCTACTAATTTTCTTCAGCATTTCATGTTCTAGCATGTACTGCCCTTTTTGTTTGTCATAGTATTGTGAACATAGTGATATAGTACAGCAGATAAGACTTGAGAATTTCAAGCAATTTTTAAGTTACAGAAGCTGTTTTTTTTTTTCTTAGTGCTGGAGCCAGTGGAGTCTGTGTCACAGTAGGAAGTTCTCAGTGCGACTGGGAGTCGGATTTATTTTTATAGTTCTGTTGGTCTGAAGTTTTTCTTAACCTTAGACAGTTTGAAGTAAGAAAATGTTCATGTTTCCAATGCACTGTTTGGAAGACCATTTAGCGAAATAATCCAAGAACTGATTGGTGCACCAAGTTTTCAGAGAGAAAAGATGGTGTGCAATGTAAGTGACAAAACTAAGTGAAAAAAAGTGTGAATTAATTGCAGTGAAGAATAAATATTTTTACATCTCACAATATTAAGTGAAATTATTTGTACTTAATGGCAGTACTTTGAGATTAAAGCTGTATCCCTGCATAACAATTTGGAATGTATCTTTTAAGTGGGAGAATGAAAGGTTAGTTATTATTTTACATATTTCAAGAGGCTTTGTTTGGATTGTTTTCACAGGAGGTAGTTAGATTCCTTCTCTTTCATCCCTGTTAATTTATGGTTGAGTTCCTGTTGCGTGATCTGTCACCAGTCGCACAAGCCAGTGTAATAAAGATGCGTACACCAGTAAGGTTTTGATTAGATCCAAGGAGAACTTTTTGAGACATTCTGCTGATAGCACATGAACATTTTAAAACCTACATTGCTGTTGCTTCAGCTCCTACAAACACCATTTTGATATGTTACTTTATATGTATAGGGTCCACTGAGTTGAATTACTAGAAGTGCCCATTCATCTGGAGACACACCTGAATGAATTGGTGTGCCGTTAACGGTGTATGTGCGTTGATAGGCATAAAAATCTTTTGTTCTGGTGCCAGCACGATAATTGCCCTTGATTTCTGTAAGGTGCAACACGGGCAGGTTTGATCTGCAGTTAAGTGCTGTACGTAAGCAGAGTGTACTGCTTGTGCCGTCTCGGAGGGCTGGGGGTCTGCACGCACCAGGATGTGGAGACCAGTGGTTCCAAGGGTGAAAGGCATTTGTGGAGATACTAAAATATGAACCCTCCATGTGTGAGTGGCAAATGTTTTGCAGCAGTAGGGCTCTGCAAAACAAAGATATGCAGCTCACATCTGAATGTGAGATTAGTTTTTCATGAAGTGAAATGCTTAAAAAAGCCCTGAAAATATAATAGATGTATAGTAACATAACTTGCTGAGATGTTTTTTACTTAATCTTCTTGGGCAAGAGTTAGGTATTCTTTCTTTATGGAATAAAACAACTCTTGAATCTCTCAAACAGTGTAAGAATACAGCTCTTTCCCGTGGTGTTGCTATGGGATGTAATTCATCCTGCAAAAGAAGATCAGGCAGTCTTGGATCATGTTAATTGGGGAAATGGAGCCCACTCTTTCTCAAAAGCAAAAGGAGTCAAAAATAACATCTAACTCGCCAGCATAAAGTACATTGAGGTCCCTGGATAAAGTATTACACTGAAGTAAGAAAGTATCAGTAAGTTATTTGGAATGTGCTATATTTAGGATGTGAATCTACAGTTTTGTGCGGTTCATGATCCTAAGTGTGTGCTGAGTAGAACTAATCTCTTACACAGTGCCAGACAGTGCCTGTTTTAGCAAATAATTTAATTCAAAACCTCTTTAGAATGGCAGCCGTCAGAGTGAAAGCCTGTAAATGTATCTTGGAGATAGTGTTTTAGGAGAACGAATTCATGTCCTCACTGTATGGAGTCTGAAGTTTGCTATTTGAGCAGTAGTTTAGGGAGAACTAAGTTCTGCTCTTTTATTGGAGAAACAGTATCTGAACAGAAATAGTTTCTTGTCTTAGCTTGTTGGTACACAGCAGATAAAATAACGGCAGCTGCTTCTGCTCTCTTTGGAAGCAGTGAAAGCTAGTGAGGACAAAGCTGGTGGTCCTTCTGATACTTATACCTCAGCCTTGACTTACAGACAAGTGCCCATGCGTTCTTACTGGGGACGCTGATGGAAGGAACCGTGTTTGTCTATACCCGTTGTTTTACCAGTGGCAATGAAATATTGCTGTTTGCTTTACCCAAGGACTCCAGTTGGTCTGGTAGTATTGCGTACGTTTCTTGAGGGGGTTGCTTCAAGCATTGTGGTGTGTGCCCTTGATCTTGCTGTCTCGCAGCTTTGATTGCCTCCATACTCTCATCATAGCTGTTTCTGAACTGACGTATGAGGGTGGTTCAGTATCTTAATTTTTACCCTTGGCTCCTTGATTAAGGCCTTTGTGTTTGTCAGTGTCCATCCTCTGCATGTGTAGAAATAGTTGTATGAAAACATGGCATCCAGACAAGTTTTCAGATTAAAAAAAAAAAAATCGTGCCCTGTAGAAATTGTAAAGGTTTTGAAATACTGCCTGGCAGCTGATGCTGCCTGAGATGTTGGTTGTGACAATATTGGACTGTGAGGAATGACGCTAGTGGAGGTGTTGAAGGTTAGAGGCAACCGGAATTTGTTCTGGCCCACAGAACCAAAGAGCTGGAGTTACTACATAGTCCTTACCTTACCTGCTATGCCTAGATGCTATAATTTGTGTTTCAGAACTGTTTCAGAAAGTCTTCCAGCATGCGAGCGTGTTAAATGTTTGGTGTGCTGTGAACAGCTTTGGCTTTCCTTTGTGTTGTGCCACAGGCCCATCTCTTTCGCTACCTCCCATATATATTAGTTAAGTACAGCATTTCACGTAACAGAAAATGAGTGATACGGCTATTGTGGTACATTTCTCCATGGCTGATTGCTCTTTTATGTGAATAATTAGCAGCATGCACGCTATTTGAATCCTACAGGCACATGTCAACTGACATTTAGGCTGAGACTTAACATTTAGTCAGAACTAACAAAATGATAGGAGCTGAACACGTTAGAAGCTGCTGCTGTGGTGCGCTTGCAAAGCAAAACAAGAGTAACTGTAGTACAGTAAGAAACAGCCTTAAAAGGATCTGGACCAGTCCTTTTTCACTAAGTCAAGAACTTTTGCCAATTCTATTTAATACTCTGAAAAAATTAGGACTGTGTTCCTGGCCAAAAAATAAAAGCAAATATAGCAAAAATTAACATATCAGAAAATTAATCAGATAATAGCAGCGTACAAACTGCCAGGTTAGCTCTCATGCTCTTAGGAGTCCAATCATAAACTGCAGCTAAACAATGTATAAACTTAGAGCAAAAACGTAGTAACTGTTTATTTGCCACAGTTTCTGCTTTGGCAGCTCACCAAGAGCTCCTTGCAGACTTTCAGCTTGTTCTACAGGAGGACTTCCTAACAAAAAAGAAATCTAGAGTATGTTTCTGCCAATACGCTAGAGTTCTAGCAACAACTGTCAGAAGTAACCACGGATGTTTTGACTTCTTTTTCAATTAATGTCTTTTAAATGGAACTACTGCGCTGAGCCTGTGATTTGGGTTGGAGCTTCACATCCCCTGAGACAACTGTTGGAAGTCTGGGATTAGAACACAGCAAGTTGCCTCTTACTCTCTTTCTAGTAGGTTTATCTGTTAGCTTTCAGGATTGTAAAATGGTTTCCTATTAACCTGTGCTATCTTTTACTTCAACTTGCAAGTAAAATCTAGATCAGAATAAGAACGAGCAAAAGTAGGTTTTAGTCGAGAAAACTTGAAGCACAAAGCAAGCCATGCTGGGCAAAACTATTCCATAATTGTTGCAACACAACATCTATTTGTTTCGCTTGATTATTTTTCTAGGTAGAAGTGTAGGGCAGAACAACTCCAGCTGCACTAGTTTTATGATCTGTATGTCAATGTAAATTTTTGAAAGCTTTGTTATCTGTTTCAAGAAGCAGTTTAAAATAGCTTGCTAGGTCAGCTTTATTCCTGGATGTTAGATCTGAAACAAGCTGGTTTACTAATCTTTTCTTTTTTGAACACTTTGCTCTGCTTAGCAAGTCAAGAGAGATCACAAGGCTAGAGAATGATGATAGGGATAGCTTTATTTTTCAGCAAAGTAATTTAGAAGGCAAAAATGTGTCTACAGAAGTGACTTGTGTTTTCTGATTGTATTCCCAAAATGGAGATCGCATTCCCAGTCAGGCTGGCCAAGAACTGTAATGCAAAATGTGAGCAACTGTGAAGGGATGAACAGCTTCAGCTGTTTGGAACTAAAGCTTGCATTGGTGGGGTATTGGAAAGGGTTTGGTTATGAGTTAAAGCTGGGATGAGACATGGCTGGGGAGCTTGGTACCAGTGCTATGCATAATATTCTTCCTGCAATATGAATTAGATGGGACTTCTGACCAGTCTGGGAAAATGCCCTTGTGAAACCTCTAATCTGCTCTGCTGATTTAATAAAAAAGGATTATCCAAGCTGCAATAAGGAAACACTCTACTTCTTACTCTGACTTCAACCCAGTGACTTGCTTGATTATTTTTAATCAATAATGTCAGTCAAAAAAAGATGAGTAATGCTATTGGGGAGAAATCTAGTGTGATCTGTAGGAATGACTCTTTAAACAAGTGAGAGCTAGTACAACAGGGGAATCATCAGCTCCGTGTTTCTGAAGAGAGCAGTTTCATTTGAAAGGACTTTGTTTCCAAGGGAATCCAGAAAACACATTCTCTCAGTTCTGCGATGAATAAATGTCTGTCATGAGCTGAGCATTACAGATGCCATAAGCTGCTGGTTTTGTACAGAGTGTGTTGTGTAGCAGAGGCACTGACGCTGTGGAACATCTATTTCTGATTCATGGGATTGCTATGCTCGGGTGGAAATCCACTGGCTGAGGGGCTTTCTTGTCACTGGGGAACGGACAGTTTCCATGCTGCTTAGCTGTGTTATTCTTTTACACATCACAGTTGTCCTTTAAATGAAGTGATCCCCAGTTGGCAGAATTTTCAGTTTGATAAGTTGGGATCTCAGAGTTGCTGTTTGGCATCCTTAGGATTCCTGAAAGAAAGTGAGTTTCTGTCTTGGAAGATCTTGTTGCAAAGGAACAACGTAGAAAGAAACACCATTTATCATTATGTATTTTCAGTAATTTATGGAACAAGTAATTACTTATCTTTTTTTTTTTTTTGCTTTAATGTATGCACTTAGGTTTTGAGGATTGCAAATTATGGTTCACGTTGGCCACAGCTGTTACAGAAACATTGAACAATTGGGACTTCTTGAAATGTGATCTACTGCTGCTTTAATATTCAGTATTGGTTGGAGTTTGCCTTTCATGCCCAAGAGAGTTGACTAATGTTCCTAGAAACTTGCTTTCTTTGAAGCTAATTTCCAAATGTAAACAAATCTGTAATGCACTTGATGATCCGAGCTGGAAAGAACCTCAAATGCATTTCTGTAACACAGCCGAGAGTGGCTAAACGAAATGCTTCCAGAAACTGAAGCAGCCTTTTACAGTCTCGAATTAACCTTAAAGCATCCGGTTCATCTTGAACTGAATTTACTGCAGGGATCTCTAGTGGATATCTGTGTCTGTGATGGATTGGTAGAAATCTGCTTTAATGGATGCTACCATCCACATGCTCTGTGCTGTGTTTGATATTTAGGGTAGCTGATTTCCCTAGCCTGGGCCCATTTTTACTTTATTTTTCTTTTTAAAGCTTCTTAGCCTGCCCTGTTAGTGAGCCCTTGAAAATGACACTGTTGTGGGATCGAACATCTGCTGAAGTTTTAGTACAAGCACTGAGAAAGGTGGCTAAGTTCACAGCTTTTGCTTTGCCATGCGATGTCCCTTTTGACTTTTTTTTTGACACTAGTTAGCGGAATACAGTCAGACTGTCTACATTTCCAGTTCCAACTGGGACATATGCCTGGCCTTGTCTGGTATGCCATCTTGCTCTTTTCCTTCAACTGTCTTAGAAACATATTTTACCACAAACCGTCAACCTTTGTTTATTTCTAAACCGAAAGGGAGGTAGCATACTATGTGACTAAAAACATCATCCTGTTTATTATATACTTGCCTTATGTTTCCTTCTAGTTCTCTTTGTGTTCTTTCCTTTGTCTTACTCAGTCAACTCGGAGGGAAAAAATGCTTTTACTTTATAAAAGATGTTTGAGTGTCTCCAACTTTGTAGGCACAACGAAACTATTTTATGCAGGAGACTTCATGGAAAACAATGTTGATTACTGGTGTAGACAGGTAGGCTCTCTTCTTCTCTCGCACAAAATAAATATTTCTTGTTCCAGTCAGCTTTAAGCACAGATATTTTTACAGCATTTTTGTGGAGTGTGTAGATGATTTACAGTAGAAGGTAGCTAATCTGACTTTTGGTAACTTTTACCCAGTTACAAGAGGGGGAATTCAGGCTGCAAATAGGTCAAAGGAGGTCAGGGCTTTGGAAAATCTCAAAAGCACTGCCACAACAGATCACACTTTGCCATGAGGCGTTCAGGTCCAAGGCAGGGACGTGCTTCTGGCAGTGACTCGCTGAGGGAGACACTTTACAGAAGTACGCATGATTCTGAAATTAATTATCCTACAAAATAGCGTTGGGGAATCAGCTTATTCCAGACAGTTAACGGTTCTGTGATTTCTGAGTGACCTTCGGCTTGTCAGACGGCAGAACCAAGGCTTGTTTTACCCAGAAGCAGGGAGCACAGCTTTGGAATTCCTCCTTAGAAAACTGGTGGTTGTGGCCAAATTGTCTTCCTTACAGTCTGCAGTTCTGTCCAGTACATTTTTGACCAAATATTCCTGTCCCGTTAGTGACCCATTTCAGTGATGTCTGATAGCAAAAGTTTGTTTATTTGTAAAGGCTGTTAATGTAGAGGTTGTGATAGAGCAGCCCCAGGCAGCTGAAAGCTAAGGGAGTGCCGTACAGTGGAAACTGATAGTCCTTACTGTTTGGTGCTCTTTCAAATGATAGCTTTAGTCTTCAGGATATTGCCTGGTGATTATTTTTTTTTTTACATATTCTAATGCTTTTGTGTGAAATATTTAATGGTGGGGAATGTACATATTTGCTTCCCTCCAAAACAGTGACTTTAACATAAGGTGTCTCAGTTGATTTGAAAAATCTCATGTTACACTTTGTTAAAGCAGGTACCAAAGGCTTTGTCTTGTCACATTCTTAAATGAGATTTGTTCTCCTTCTCTTTTAGGAAATGCCCAATTCTGTCTTTTTGGTAATGGAGGTATGTGTTAATATACATGTTTCTTTCTGGCTGATTTTAAATATGATTTTTAGACAAAACTCCTTCTTTGCACAGCTGCAAAATAACCATGACTCGTTAAATCGAGCAATCCTGAAAACTAGATTATTAATTTCCTATGCATTACTAAATTTATCAGCAGTGTTCCATAAATTATTCAGTTTTATTTTCTGATTCTGTAAGTGTTGATGAAGTGTTACACCTCAAATTATTAATTGCAAATAACTGACAAAACAATGCAAACAGCTAGAAAGGATCTTCTAATTTTTGTGCAAAGATTACAAAGTACAACTTATATAGGAAGTATTTCAGTGCTTGTGTTTTGAATAAAACCCTTTCTTTTTGACAGTACTGCAATGGTGGGGATTTGGCAGATTACTTACAAGGTAATTGATTACTGTATTTCCCTATGAAGAAGCTACTGCGTTACATGTTTGTATTTCTGTAGTCCATCGGTGTTTCTCTGAGATTTTTTTTTTTTTTTGCTTGTGGTTTCAATATTTTTCTGTTCATGAAATGTCTGTAATGTATGTTGACCCTGGTGTGATGTTAGGGTACCCTCTTTATAGGAGTAATTGCATTCACCAGGAGTCCGTTTAGTGCTGCGTTCTGTCTCCAGTTAGGGTCGGCAGCAGAGTGCTGTTTGTTGTGAGTTGGTATGCCACCCGGGGAACGTGACAACTCAAGCTGCAGGAAGACATAAGGTTTTGCATTTGTTTAAGAATATTTCCCAGTGTTTTTAGATGCCATTCAGAATTGAAAAGAAAACCCCCGAAGTAGCAATAAAGGTGAATAAATTAAGGAAATATGCACAGACAGAACGTGCTTTTTGCTACTGCCTTCAAAATAGTTGAATATAACCTTCCTTTATTTATAATGAGGGAGAAGATGTAGCCAACCATAAGTAAAATGCTGAAAAAGGTGTGGTTTTTTTCTTTCTAAAGTTGTATTTTGGGGGCTGTTCCCAGTGTTTTGATTCCACCTGCTTTCTAAAGATACTGAATTACTTATATAATAATGCTTTCTACCAAGAGGCAGTTCTGGCTTAGGAGAGATTTTACCCTTCAACATAGCTCTGCCCAAAGTGAAGACAGAAGTTACAGAATCATGACAAGTGGATTCTTATTGCAAACAAAATTTTGAGCAGAGATGTTAATCTTCATATTATTCTTGATTAAAATATTCTCCTACTTGCCTTCGTATCTCAGTACGTTGAAGGAATCTTTTTGTGAACAGCTATTGTTATGGTAACTGTGTGTATTAAAAGCCTAATTCACTTCCCATTAAACTCCTTGGGAAGACTCATACAGTATAATCCAGCTCCTGCATTCAGTACTTTTCAGACTGCAAAATGAGATAATACCTTCCAAAGAGACTTACTTCTAAAACTGCATCTTATTTTTTCCATTCAAAATAAATTTTATCGTGGATGAAATTTTTGAGCAGAGTGGTTATCTGCATCCCCATAATAATTTGTTTAATGAACAGGTTTTACAGCTTCAGGTTGTAACATGATCATAGATACATTTAATGTTCTAAACTGTGAAGTTCTTTATTTTCGTGTCTCCTTTGCCTTTTTAGTGAGTTTGGGATTTAATGCTGATTGAAGAATTTTACAATTATTATGCTACCAAGTTGAATAAACTACTGTAAAAACAGATAATTCAGAGTACTGTAGCTAGTGTGAAACCATGAGGATGTGTATGTTTTGAGAGTATATACATTTGTAGAAAAAATACTGGATATTGTATTGTTTTGAATGTAGGTCACTATGATTTGATTGTCTTCATTGTTCTCACAGCTGATCACTGTCGATTGCTTTTTGACTAAATATAATGATATTTATTTTCTCATCTGCTAATGTGTCTGTTATTTCCAGCTAAAGGAACGCTTAGTGAGGATACCATCCGAGTGTTCCTCCAGCAGATTGCAGCAGCTATGCGTATTCTGCACAGTAAAGGAATCATTCATAGGGATCTTAAACCACAGAATATTTTGTTGTCTTATGCCAGTCGTAGGAAGTCAAGTGTCAGTGGCATACGCATCAAAATAGGTAAATATGCTTTTCTGTGATCTAAAGGTAAATCATCTCTGTTGGATTGTTTCCCCGCTCAGAAGTGTCTTTGTAGTTAAAGTGCAGAGGGTGTACTGGACAATGGTCTGTATTAAATTGATGCAAATCAGACAGTAAGTCTAGAAGGATGAGCTTTATGCTGTAGTGCAGATTCTCAGTACAAAAAAGTTTGAGTCATAAAGACCTTTTTGATTAAATGTGCAGGAAAAAGAAACCTATTTAGCTGGTGTTTCTAGTATTAAACTATTTTAATTAGACTTAAATCTGTAATCTTTGAAACTTGAGTAGCCTTTAGCCCATTTCAAAACTGCATGCATGCGAGACTCCAGTCCCAGTTCCAGCTGGGGTTTTTTTGTGGTAGACCCTCCTAAGGGTTATTTGAGAAGTTCAGAAATGTAGGTTATGACCTATTTTTGGCAGTAGGAGGTTTGGCATTGTAACTGGGGAGAGATGTCAACTGTTCAGGATACTACCAAACTCCTCTCCGGAGGACGCTTCAGGATTTTTAATCTCTTGTTGTTGTCTGTTAAGTGTCCATTTAAAAAATACTGTGTTTTTAACAAGTTTATTTTCTATGCTTTTTCTCAACCAAAATCTGAGATCTGTTCCAACTCATTCCATCTTCTAAACAGCACAGAGGAGACAAAACTCCTCTTGCTCCCCTTGCTTGATAGTTTCAGATGCTTTTGCCTACATGGAAAATTCAGGCATCTGAAACTCGACTTCTTAAAATTTTACCTGATGTGATTTCGCTGAAGCAGATTGTATATTCATCACTCTTAATGAACCATTTGTATTTAGCTATTGACTTTAATCCTTTCCTAGCATGCTCTGCAGCTGGGGAGATGGCTGAGCAGCAGTTTGTGCAAATGATGCCACTGCTGTTTCTTGGCTTGCTATTTGGAAGATAATACATTGTTATTTCAGTGTAACATAGATTTTACTATTCCATGTAGTTGGCTATAATACCTGTCTTTTTCTCTTGTAGCTGATAATTGTAGCAGATTCAATAAGAAACAGATAATTTCTAGACTTTAAAAATTTGAAAATTATCTATCTTTTCATTGACAAATGTGTTTCTTTACATAGCTGACTTTGGTTTTGCTCGTTATCTGCATAGCAACATGATGGCTGCAACCCTGTGTGGTTCCCCTATGTATATGGTAAGTGACAGTCTATTTCAGATTAAGTTGCTTGTCTCAAGCACTCTCCTACCAGAATAAAATCATTTACTGCTTGCAGATTAGCAAATGCCTAATATTGTTTCAGAAAAATTAGGGGCAGCGTGCAATTCACCTTTTTATAGTTTTACTAGCTCCCTTTTTTCTTGTGATTTGGAAATCACAATTGTTAAAATCAGAGAGACATTGAACATTTCTTAGTGCCTTGAGGAGGAAAAATCTTAGAGAATTAGCCTCTGCTAATACTGCTCCAACAGAAATGTAGAATTTGTATTGTGGCTTTGCTTTTTTGTTTTCCCTTCTGAGAGTTTCCTGTTCTTTCCAGGCCCCTGAAGTGATTATGTCTCAACACTATGATGCTAAAGCAGACCTGTGGAGCATAGGAACTGTGATTTATCAGTGTCTTGTTGGAAAACCACCTTTTCAGGTAACACTATATTTCCTTTTCCCTCTTTTTAGTCTCATGGAAATTCCTAGAGCTTTTCCTCCCAGTCCTGAAAGCAGATGAGGTTTTCTCCTTTAATGCCTGTATGCAAAAGCCTACTTTTTGTGTATATGTGTATAGATACAAAAGTTATTTTCTCCATTAAGCTGAGCTTTAATTAATGTACATTTTTATTTAACAGGCCAATAGTCCTCAAGATTTGAGAATGTTTTATGAAAAGAACAGGAATTTGATTCCTAGGTATGTCACCATGGCCTTTCCTCTCCCTTATGCTTGTTGATTGAACACTTTTTCATCTTTTGGGAATTGCTGGGATTAATAAAAAATATTTGATGTTGCTATCTTGACAAAGTCATAGTGTAATACCAGTGACTCATGTTGTGTCTTGCTTTCCTTGTACCTTGCTGAGTGGAAAGTCACCTGTACTAAGGCTATAGAGCACGTGTAGTGAAGATTTATGGCAGAATGCTGACTTCCCGAAATTTAATACGTTATGCATGATGTAATGCATGCATGAAATTTAATGCATGTTGTACTTCCTCTTGTGTGCAGTATTCCTCGGGAAACATCAGCTTACCTGGCTGACTTGCTGTTGGGTTTGCTTCAGAGAAACCAAAAAGATAGAATGGACTTTGGTATGTAACTTTTCCTTTGGTCTCTTAACTTTCCTTGTTAGTTATATTCATGTGACCTGAATAACTATCCTGACCTTTTGTCTACAGCCAACTACATGAAAAGTGAAGTGGTTTTTTTTTTCTTCTTAGTTATAAAGAAGGCAGAGTAGCCAAAAGAAATAATTGGGTAACTACTGTCAGTCAGTATTAAGTTATGCACATGAATTATGACTTGTTAAATAGTGAAATATTAATTAGTTTAATTATTTCAATCGTAGCCTTTTTCCCCCTACAGTGTTAACTGATATACCTGAAATTTCATGTGACAGTCTCATTTCTGTTACTTTCACTGGTGTTTTGGCTGGGGGCAGACATCTCTGATCTCCATGATGGTGTTGGTTGCAGAAATGTAGCAAAATACTGGAAGAAACCACTTTGGAGGCAAAGTTGTTTTAAATGGTTTCCTCCCTATTCTTGTAGACTACAAATATCGTAACAGTATTAATGGGGGTACAAACTGTATACATTGGATTTGACCTTGAAAGCACATATATGTATATCTGAGGGCAATAAGAGATGTGATGTTACAGCAAAATCACGTATATTTGCAAAGATGAGTTCCTAGTATTGTGCTCAGATACTGATAGCTGTAGAGACTTTATTTTAGTGAAATATTATCATAGTGGGGTTTTTTAAGCCCCAAACTAGTAAAAACAACAGTTTTATCTTTGTATTTTAAGTCCTAAAATTTATAAACTCTGCAGTCACTGAAGTTTGCATGCTGTTAGACGTTACTGCAATGTCTGTTTTATTAAAAAAAATAGTTGGGAAGTTAAACCTGGTACAAACAAGATGGATGTCCTGTGAACAAAAGAGAATTTGTTTGGCTCCAGTTTATTGCTGTGTTTGGCTTTTTCTCTTTAACTGGAGACCTTTGGTTGCAGAACATTATTGTAACTTTGTAAGATTTCAAGGCCTCAGACTGGTACTATTGAATCATTCAAACTGGCTACAACTGTTGCCTGTTCAAAATTAGTCCAGAGTTTAGATTTGTGTGTGCTTTGTACTGCCTGGATTGTCTGTTACTTCAGTCTCAAAAAGCCTTTTTATTGCTGGATTTTTGGTTACCCATTACTGCCAAAGTAGTAATGCTTTTTCCTTTTTTTTTTTTTTTTTATGCAAACTCGGGCAACATTTTTAAAAGAAGACCACTGAAAAGTTAAATCTTGATTAGTTCTTCTTAGCTGCATCTTGTATATCCTGTTATTGATGCTGGTTGTTTAGATTTTATAGCTCTAGTTGTTACTGCAGTTTTATCATAGCTGTCAGGAAATGTTAAACTTTTAGTTAATTAAAGCTAACTTGGCTAAATACCCTTATCTTTTTCATTATTATTATTTTATATCAGTAGCAATGTGCTTTATTACTAAGACTTGTTTTAGCAACAGATAGGTCACTCATCAAGTTTAATCTATGGAATGGTGAGAAGGAGACCAAGAGCTCTTCGTGCTCCTTGTAGATAAGACCTAGTTCTTTCCTCACCACAGGCTATTAGCTCTTGTGATGCGGAGCTCCTATAAGACGTCCTCAGTTTTTGTTTTTGCTTATGAAACTTCACTATTGCTCTTTAGTTATGCATGCAAGCTTGGTTTTGATGCAGTACCGAAATATACAAATTGACTCATTCATCACATGTGGTCCTTGTGTGGCTGTGATAAGAAGACTATATTTGTTAGGCTGTGGAGAGAGGAGGATTCAAAAGGTATTTTAGTTCTGAACTTAAAGCTCAAAAGTCTCCTAGCTACATTTTATTTTTTCAATTCCTGCTATGTTTTGCTCCAATAAATATAAAACTTTTTTTTAGTAATTTGAAATTTAAAACATCAATGCTAGCGTAATTAAGGTGTTGCTCTTCTGAGAACCAGGCATGGGTTTCTGTGTGTAAAGGTGACTGACATAACTCAATTTAACTGCTGTATGTAAAAATGTAAGTAAAGTCAGATCTAGAAAAAACTCAGGATAATTGGGTAAAATGTACAAATGATAGTGACAGTATTTGGAGGTTGATACATAAATCTACGTGTGTGGAAGAATTAATACATCACAAACATGAACTTTGAGTAATTGATTCCACTTTGCACTCTGGGTGTGCTGATCCCTGCAGTTTCTTCAAACATGGCAAATTCATTGTATCATTTGTGGTAGTGGGAGAATGCATTTGTGCTTAGAAAGAAAAATAGAAAGCAGACTGGTAGTGATGAAAGTCATGTTTTCCTTGGCTGAGCCACTTAAAGGGCCTCAAAGGGGCTGCTCTGGAATGTGCTTAGCAAAGGGAGTGAAAGGGAGAGTGTAGAACTGAGCCCAGTTGCCTGTTGTTGAAGTAAAAATAGCCTTGGAAATCCTGTTGATCTTCCAGCAGCATAAAGTAGTAGAACAGCAGGTGTTGCACAAAAGCTCAGGAACACCTGATCCTCGTGTTAAAGTTAATCATTACATTGTTCTTGTGTTACAACTAGCCTCCCTTCCTTATCGGGTTGTGGAAGAAAGTGTTGAAGGAAGAGGAGATACTGCAGGCCTCAGATTCTTTATTTTTTTTTCCCTTGTTATTTGCTTAGGTGTAATGAACAGCATTGTTTTTCCTCAACTGCTGGAACATGAAAGTTCACAAAGCTCAGCAGCTAGCTTCCACCAACCCTCCGTTTCCCCTAACTAGCTGAGGGTTGCTTCTTGTAGGTAAACTGCTAGCCAGCTGGTTGTGCTGGGTCAATTAAATGCATCTCAGCATATCCATTTACCACAAAAGCAAACTGTTTCTATTGTAACAGTGACAAGTCAACTGAGGAAATTGTGTTTAATTCTGCATTATTCTTTGAACTGGCTGCACAGATTGTGTTCTGCTGTTGGGAAGTGGGAAGGAGAATGGCTGCTGCTCTGTTGTGATTTTCAGCCACATAAGGAGTAGCATTAATGGGCTCAAAAATAAGCTTCAGTCCTTGGGAAAGGCTGAAGTGAAAATACTTTCAGTGTCTGATGTGAGAGATGCTCATCATTTTAAAGAGCAAATTAAAACTGAGTTCGTACCATACTGAACATAGAGAACATAATTTCATGATGAGTATAGGAAGGCTTCTTGTGTACCTGATCCTTAAGTGCAGTCATAAAATGTCCTCCAGTAATTCAGTCTGATTTGCCTTGCTGGCTGTTGTTTGAAGTTATTCAATTGATTTTTCTTTCCTTTCCAAATACTATAGCAACATATAACATAGAAGGCTTTAATCTTTTGTAAGCTCTTCACCCTCTGGCTCTGAAATATTGATTCTGGGAAGGCAACCATTTATCACCATCTGCAATATAGTCTGTAAATTGTATGTCATTTGTACATTTACTCACCATGGTTGTTCGTTCTTGTTCTATAGAAGCATTTTTCAACCACCCTTTCCTGGATCAGATTTCAACAGTCAAAAAGTGTAAGTAGTTTTCTTTCACCACTTATTTGTGTAAATGATGAATGTTGGGGGCTGGAACAGAGAAGGATCTGCCAAGTATCCCACTAAGTGCCTATGAGGCATTTTCCTGAGTCTGACTTCTTGTTGTGCTCTATTGTGAGGCAAAGTGTTGAATCCTTTTTTGTATTATGCTAGACTGAAATGTGATACTTATTTACTAGTTCCTTTGACATTTCAACTGAACTGAAATGCCCTTGTGTGTTTAAGGATATGCTGTGCTTACAAGTTGTATAAGGGTTTATGAATGAAAAGCAGGGAGGAAATAAGTTTATTTGAAAGTCGGCCTTTCAAAATCTTAGTCTCTTTTTTTTTTTTTTTTTTTCCCCCTCCCCTTGGGTCTTCCTCTTCTAGCTTGTCCTGTACCAGTGCCCACATACGCAGGCTCAGTCTCTGGCAGTTCCTGTGGTAGCTCTCCATGCCGTTTTGCTTCTCCTCCAGTAAGTTCTTCGATTTACAGAATAATCTCTAGAAAATATTTGGCCAAGAGTTTCTGGATTTTATATCTTTCCATTTTTGAACACTGTAAACTGTTGTGTTTAAGAGCAAAGAGCAAGGAATACCACTGCCTTTTGCTAGAGGAATGGCGTTAACATTTTGGTTCTCTTGCTCCTTGTGTTGTACTTTGTGGGGTTTTTTGTTGTTCTTTTTTGTTAAAGAAAAAAATACATATATCAAATGCTAGAGTAGCAAATCTTTAGATACGCTAATATGGTTTGCAATTTAATGAGTCTTGCAGGTGATTTTTTTAATTGGTCTTTTTGATTAAGGCCCCTTATGCTGCTCTGAACTGGTGACTTCAATTCAATGTAGTATTTGGAGGAGGTGCCCCTGTATCATCAGGAATAATTGAATAAATTGCAGTTGTATACATTCACAGCCTCTTTAATATAGAACTGTCTGAACTTACACTAGTTTATCCAGTATTTGAAATTTCATTCTGAATCATTGGAATTACAGTGGGTTTTTTACCTTTTTTTTTTCCCCCACCCCCACTTCCAGTCCCTGCCAGACATGCAGCATATTCAAGAAGAAAATCTGTCTTCCCCTCCATTGGGTCCTCCGAACTATCTTCAAGTCTCTAAAGACTCTGCCAGTACCAGTAGCAAGAACTCCTCTTGTGACACAGATGACTTTGTTCTTGTCCCACACAACATCTCTTCAGACCACTCATGTAAGAACCTTCCTTATTTTTACATTTTAAACAATTTCCACTTGTAATATACCTTTATGTCCTGATATTATTTGGCTCTCTTTCCTCTAAATGTGTCTTGATTCACATTGACACTGATTTATTTAGTTTGATTACTCTTTGAAGGGAGACTGTTTGGTATACCTGCATGTCCATCTGGGACATTTTCACCTTCAGCTGAGTAGCCAAATTATGCCAAAGATACCAAGGTGATTTAAAGTCATGGAAAATATTGGGGTTTGGCACTAGAAGAAAATAATCAGTTGTAAACAAGTGCTGATAAGAAGCCCAAGGATTCTCTCAGTGGAAGCAGGCATGTTGTTACCTCTAGACTAGCTGAACATTTGTAGTCCATGCTCCAGAGCTTTAGATAATAAACAAGTGCAAGTAAAGCCATAAAAAAAATGCTTAACATGAAAGGTAAGGTATCAGACTGGGCTTACACAGTAGAAAGACTTGGATGTAGCACATTGCCATTTTACAACATCTTCCAAACCTGATTGCCACTGGGAAGCTAGTCAGCTGATTTCTGTACAATGCCACTAACTTGTGTTAAATATTTTACTAAATTGGTGCCTTGATCTCTGAAGGGTTTCTGTCACTCGTTATTATAAATTTCCCAATGCTGATACCTTGTAGTCTTAAACAACGTGTTTTATTTCAAAATTATGATAATTAGTATAGCCAAAATAGCCCCAACAAAAACAAACAACAAAAAAACTTGTTAAAGAACTGCTTTCCCTAGTTATGTTTTTGTTGTAGGTCACATATGAGGTATTGTCACACACAAAATGGTTTCTGGAAAGCTTTCATTCACAGAAGTTTGTCAAAAGTGGTTATTTGTACACAGGTCATATTTGAGATTTTTTTTTTTTTGAGGTTCTGCTTCATGACGTGGGTTTTCAATGTGTTCTTCTGCTTACTGTAGATGATATGCCATTGGGAGCAGCTGGCAGGCGGGCTTCAAGCGAGTTCTTGATGTGTGGAGGGTAGGTGTGCTGAGCTTTATCCAAAAGAAGTCTCATGTTCTAAAATGGATTCTGCAGCTGTAGAAGGGCTTGCTGGTTTTTTGGCAGTGATGGGTTTACATAGCTGTGTGTGGACTTTAAGATTGATATGCCAAGTTGAATTTAATACGAATATGTAAACAGCCCGAATTCAGTATTTTGCTGCAAAGTGGATAGTTTCTCTGATGTGAAGACCTGTCTTTTGATAGTGGTTTTTGTTTTCACAGGCAGTCGCCACTAACTATTTCTGGAAGCTCAGGAACTGTACAGAAACCATCCTCAGCCTCTTCTCGAAGTACTGCTTCTGGTACAGCTAACAGGTGTGTGATGTAGGCTTAGTATTTCCTCTCTTTTAAAAAGATTCTCTGCTATTATATGGTGGTTTGGTGGTTTGTTTGTTTTTTTAAAACTCTGGATGGCTACTGGAAACTGAATTGAAACAGAAGCTAGACCTGTTTTTTCCAGGCTCTCTACACTTGATGCATTCTAATGGCTGACAGTTGCATGGCTAAATTCTGGCTGTGATGCATTGTCTAAAGATTTCCTTAAGGAAAGAGATCGTTCTTTTGTCTGTTTAAATTTTCAACTGGTTGAAATCAGTCTTCATTTAGTGAGTCAGGACGTTGAATGCAGTATGCATTTTGAGAAGTGGTTGTGAAAGAAGAGGAATCTAGCGCAGATTATCATGGATTTGTGTCTCGTGTCTGGTAACTGGGTGTGGCTTCTGTGCAAGAAATTACTGAGTTTTGTGTTTGTCTTGCAAGATACCAAAGAAGTGACATGAAAAAGCTAGACATGTAATGCATCTTTTCCGTCAGCAGGACTGTTAGTAAGTCCTCTTTCTTTCACATGGTTGTTAGACTAAGTTTCTGCTAGTATGAAATAGAACTGATATTCATCAGGGGTGCCTGCAATCTTTGCTGCAATGTCTTGGAAAATGTAATCATGCTGTTTAACTACTCATGTAATATCTAAACAGAAGGATTAGATTTGTCACTTGACCAAATAATGAATTTCATAATGTTTTCAGTACAAACAGAAAGAGGATGAGTGGCTAAATGGGGAATAAAGCTATTATGCTGGGTGTATTTTTGGCTTATGCTAATACTACAGGACTGCGAGTCAGCATTATTTGTTTAAAAATGCTTGTCACAAGAAAAGTTTGCTACTTTCTGCTGATCTTTGTGCAATTTGTGAAATCTGCTGACATGGGCTATCAATACAGCTTTAGTCTTACCTTTTATCTTTAAGGGCAGATGATGGGGGATGGTTTGTCTGTAAAGATCTGTTTGCTCTGGATTGGCCATCTACAATATATTAAAAATAAACTGTAATTTCCTATTTTAAATTGTGTTGGGCATCACCATTTTAGCAGTTACAGTTTTTATTAAAATATGCCAGTTATGTTGTCTGTACATTACGAAGTTAAGAGCTAAACATTCATGTGATTAGAAACAGGTGCCTACTCTTCACACTTTCAGCATTTGTACTATAATAGTGTGATTTAATTATTGGTTGAGTAAATTTGGTAACTAACTGTCTGCTTGGAGCATGGTCTGAAGGAAGCAGAGTGTGTGTCTGATGTTCTACAAGATGCTGCTTTTGTGTTTGTTTTTTTTACTTCCTGAGAAAGGTTCCTTCACAGTATGTGATTTTTTTTTTCTTTTACAAAAGGTTATGCCCTGTGAAACAGTGAATTTTTCTGATTAGCTTATCAAACTGAATGAATTGTACCCATAGTTATGCTGCTTTATGTCAAGTAGAAGAAGCTGCAGTGCTTCCCAGGCTGCAGCCAGAATGGGTGGAGATGGTTCCGTCTCCTGTGGTTAATTGCTAATTTTATTCTCTGGATCTCACAGAATCAAGATTTGCATGCAGCTCTGCACAGGCATCTTTATTGCATTTTCTCTAACCAGTAACAAACCGCATCAGACTCGAGAACGCCTGACCAGAGCTTAGCTCAGGTCTGAGCTGGGCAGCCCTGATGGAAGGCCAAGTACTGCCTCCGGTTAGCTCTCAGAGCTTGCTTGTATCTACCTGCAAGGCTGTGCGACAGCAGGGCAAGGCATTTTCTCTGTGGAGTACTTCAAAAGTTGAAGTGCCTTCATGGTGTCCTCAGTGTCACTGCCACAGCTGACATAACATCTGCCTCCCCTCTCCAGGAGGTCTGGCCGGGGGGTGTCCCCTGTGCCACCTCAGCGTGTTGTGTTAGCCGTCACAGGCTGCCCGCTGCCTTTGTGAGACCTTCTTGTCTGGAAGCTTTCAGGCCTTCCACTGACTGTGTGCTCGCAGCTGACTTCCAAATCACTCTGTAGTATCTAGAAAGCAGGTGGCAATAAAAGGACAAACCTTTTCTTTTGCTGAGAAAGTTCCGTACGTAGCAGGAAGTAGTATTTCATTCTCAGAGGCAGCAAAGAGGCTAGGACAAATACAGTCAAACACAGATTTCTGTTCAGCTGTAGCTGTGCAGTGAGTGCTGTAACTGCTTGTTGTCTGGAGCTTGTGATAAACTTTTTTCACATTTCCTCTAAGAATTTCTGATCTTTCTCTGAAGAGGTGGTCAATAAAGGGCCAGAAACCAAACTGATGATCTTCCAAAAAGCCCCTTAGTTTGAAATTTTTTCCGTTGAATTGTCTTCCTTTGAAAGTGTTGATAAAACTGATTATGTTGCAGTGGTTTGATTCCCTTATCAGATAGTACACAGAGATAAGCCAGGTCACTGACACTTCAGTTGAACTTGGGTAATGCTAAACTGCAGTTTGAGTCTATGGATTAATGTTCAGGTGTGTGGTTTTGGTCATTTTGTCAGGGGGTGGTTACATAACATGTTTGCCTTTTGCAAGTTCACAGTGTCTCTTGGGATATCTGACTGCGCTTTAGTAGCTTTTGTACACATTCCAGCCCTGCTGCTGAACTTCCTGTTCTTAGTGCACTGGCTTTTCCTAGAACGCTATTTTGAAGCGTGGTAAACAGTGGGCTGATTGGCAGGAAGTCGGAGGGATCTGTAGGTTGCTGTGGTGCGTGACGAAGTGTTTCAGCTAGTACTGCACTCTCAGCTCGATCTGATACCAGCCAGTGCAAGAAAGGTAGTTAGTAATGAACAGTTCCTGATCTTCCTCTGTGAAGTGTTAGAGCTAGATCAGGACAAGCTAAGATCATATTGCATGCAGGGAGTGCGGAAGCAGCTTATTTACCTGTTTCCTAGATTCTCTTGAAATGGTACAATTCAGAGAGGGACCTGTCTACCAATATTCATCTCTTATCTCCGTATGTTCCAACTTCAGGCATTGTCAGCCTTCGGTATCCCCCCGCAGTGAAACGGCACCTATTCCAGTTCCCACTCAGCTACGGAATTACCAGCGCATTGAGCAGAACCTCTCCTCTACTGCCAGCCCTGTATCAAACCCCCACGGATCACCAAGGTGAGTTTGGGTTTCTTAAACTCCTTTTTCTTGGTCCTGGTTTGTGTTTGTACCCTGACAGATGTCCGTGCTTTCTTGCTGATGTCATTTTTTTCCTACACAAAAACATACTGAAGAGACGTTTAATGATAACAAATAATGGCCCTTCACAATCTCAAGATTGGCTGGGCACTTGAAATTTTTCACTAAAACAAAATGAGCTTGTCCTTTCACTCAAATGCAATCCAAGAAGGTAAAAAGATTAAGTCATGCTTTTTTATTCCTCTTTGTGTATTATATGGCATTACGTCATAAACTAGAGAGTCGTGAGTTATGTTTTGTTTTCACACATGTAGCGATGAGACGAATGCATTGTTCTGTAGCGTATCAAGGAAACAATTTTTAGCATGCTAGTTCACCAGCTTGTCATATTACAAAGCTCTAGTGTGCCAGACTTATTCTCTGCGTTGTGATCTATAGGATCAGGATGGTGAAGGTCAAAGACTCAGAAACAGACTACTCAGAACTCTGGAGATCTTTACTGAAACAAAACCCACAGTTCCTTGCATTTTTTTCAGGATCTCTGATTTTATAATAGTTGCTACACTTGGAGAACTGGCTTTCCCTGAAATAATATGTTTTCAGTTAACTGACTTGTATAGCAGACCAAATACTTAAAACTTTATCGTAATCTTTGTTATAGATTCCTTCCTTTTCCTACCATAAAAATGGCCATTTGCAGCAATACATTTCCCTTGATTATAAAATTCAAAATCTGATGAGCAACAGTTTGAAGATTAGGAATCCATGTACTAAGGGATATCTGTTTTAACTTTTTCCAGTTAACAGGCTATTATGGCATTAAAAGTTAAAAAGTCAATGTGAGCAAAGGGAAATAAATCTTGCTTGTTTTCAGTATGGGAAGCTTAGCTTAAGTTTTTAGCTTAATAAGCTTCAACATCATAGCTTTCTCTTTAAATAGCAGTGTTTTATTTAACTGATCATTGTACTGCTTAGGGTACAATCGAGGAAACAGTTAACTATGGTGTGTGTAACCATTCTTTTCACCTTGTTAGAGCTGCAGTTGTGAGACGCTCAAATACTAGCCCAATGGGCTTCATGAAGATGGGCTCCTGTTCTCCAGTACCAGCTGACACTGCACAGGGTGTTGGGCGCAGGCTATCCACAGGATCTTCTAGACCATATTCTCCTTCACCACTAGGTAAGGCCATCAATTCTTAGAAATCGGTGAAGGTTTATCTGGAATGCTAATTCTTGCTTGAAATTACCTTAAACCGAAATCTGCCCAACTAGGTCACATCTGCAGAAATTATTTCTGTTAAAGGACTTACTGTAGTAAACTCAGTGGGTTTTATTTTGCTTTACCTTCACTTACAGGTGAAGTATAAAGTATAAGTTCATATTTTGATTTTGTTTGCTTAGTTGGAACCATACCTGAGCAGCTTGGACACTGTTGTTGCGGACAACTTCAAGGACATGAATCAAGGAGTAGAAACTTCTCAGGTGAGTGACTTTGGACAATGCAACCAGTATGACTTTGATAGAGCTGCTACAGCGTTTGGTGAAGGGGAGGAGAGCCAACACTACATTAGTGTGGGTTAACAGGAGACACTGGGTAAGCGGTGTGCCAAGTTTCTGTAGAAACTTAGCCCACTTGTGGCTATCAAGATGCCTTTCCCCATAACTATTTCCCTATACAATAAGAGAGTGACTGAAGTTTCTTTTTCTCAAAATGAAAAAGCATCTCTGATAATGCCTGTCTTTAAATGTGGATGGATTATAATGAATGGTAGTAACATGCTTCTCAGAATCTGGTTTTGATAGACCAGCTCTGTCATACCAGTCCTCAGAAAAGGGAGGAAGAACTGCCAGTGTACAGTGTGCAAGTGTTTTTGTCATTCCCTTAGGAAATTGACTGGGATCTGATGTTAGTGTTGCTAAGCACTCAGTGAGCTTTGCAAGTCATAAATTACTGTGGTGTGCCAGCAGGGGGGAAAAAAAAATCAGGGAGAAAGGGAGAAATAGGACTTGAAGATGTTCTGAGACTGTGAAAGATGGAATTGCATTGTAGTGCCAGAAGGATTGGGCATAAGAATATGCAATTCAGCAACGTGTTCTTTTGCTCTATGCACATTTTGAGTGCAATTTCTTCTTTATCTAAAATACTAGCTACACTCTTTATTTGACTTTCTAAGAGGTGCTGTTGAAACTGCATTGTGGGTTTTTCCTCTGTTTAAACACTTTCCAAAATCATCTCGAGATCATAGAGCCGTCATTTTTGGAGTAGCCATTTTTCAAATATCTGGGAATGGTTTCACCTATATGAAATAAGTTCTATGACATGTCTCAAAAATTGCCTTCATAATTGCTATGCCATTGTCAATCTCAGCAAAAGACAAGGAGTGAGTGGATCCTCAGATTTGAAATAGTCTCTTAAAAAAAAGGGTGTGTGTGAAGAGAATACAAAGCGGTGTTTATGCTTTTCATCTTTTCTTTGGATAGAATTTTGTAGGGCTGTTGGTTTAGTGCGTTTTGCCAGTGTTAAACTGACTTGTACTTTTAAGATACCAAAGTGCTGTTTTTATGGCTAGAAGAGTATATAATGTTTCATTTCTTCATCTGATTCTGTATTCTTTCCCCATTTGACTTTATTTCTTAATTTCAAATGACTGCAGTGGTATTTCTGTTTGTAAAATACCACAAATTGCAGCAAGTCTGTTTCTCAGTGTTTAAATGTGTATGGTAAGTTGGCTTTTGCTTCTGGGTGAAGTGAGGTCATCTGTACTGAGATTTTCTAAGGACTGAAGATGTCTGTTGTAATGTAGCTTCTGAACTAATTGAGTTGCTCTTGCTGCCAGTGGCAGCAGAGGACAAACTTCTAATTCAGAAGCCTTCCTTGTGGTGGCAGTGACACTAGAACAGTAACCAGTGAGATTTCTAAAACTGGTTTTTAAAATGAGAGGTGAGGACTTTCAGTGCCATGAGACAAGCAGAGGGATTTCAAACAAGCAAATTCTTGTCTGGGAAGTTAGTGAGAAATAGACTTGATCCCTCTACTGGAGCTGCAGGCAGAAAGGCTGTTCTGAAACATACCGTTTAATGGAGTGGAATTAAATCAAGATGAAGTAGCTCATATTCAAAATCTAACTAACCAAAGCACAGGCTTAAGTAGGTTGAAAGATGTGTCCTAACAGCCTGGCACTGTACTGAGCAAACTGCAAGAAGTTTGTGATGGTTTTCTGAGCATACGTGTATGAAACTGAGCCTGTTTCGGAAGATTGTCTTGGCCAGCTCTTAAAAATCTTATGTAATTAGTATGGTTCATTTTCAGGTTTACCTTTTTTTTTTTTCTTGTAATGTGAGTGCAATTGTCACTTCAGTGTTAAGTTTTTTTGAGGTTACAAAGACAGTCATTTCATCTGGGAAGTTGTGGCCATAAAGCCGAAGTCTTATGTACTATTTGTGACTTTGCACAGTTCCTCATCATGAGACACAAAAATATCACAAGGAAGAAACCATTTCATCAAATTTCAGGTTCCTTATTTTGAAAGGGGGAGGGCACCTTTGAGTAGGTGAGATGTTTGTAAGAGGTATTTCCCCAACGCCCTCTGTTTAAGTGACTGCTTGTAGCTCTTCCATTTGCTTTAGGAGAAGCTTTGTACTTGTACTTAAGTGTGGACTTCCTTTGTACATAATAAGCTTTTGAAAAATATTTAGTCTGATAGACTAAAAAGTAAATGATTGCTCAATGTAATGATCCCAGACTGTTTCATCTGAATAATTTGGTTCTTTTTAGTACCTAGTTTTCTTGCAGGAACCGTGAGATGAGCTGCCTTTTGTATCTGCAGACGAAGTCATTATGTACAAAACAAATCATTAACATGCAGTGTTGCATTCACACACTTGTTTGCAAAAATATAGTTGCAGTACTTGAGAACCTCTATTCAACCTCGACTATTGGTGCCTGTACTTGAAATTTCAGTATTGGTTATGCCATTCCTG